AGTTATGTCATTGCTGGTCTCACTTATCTATATCATTTGGATAGGAATTTTGTTGGCAAGGGGGATTGAAAGGTAAAACATTTAATCATAATCAAAGACCTGTTGTTGTTTTTTTTATTACCCCACATTTGCTGAGATTTTTTGACAGTTCATAGCTGTTCTCAGATGTAGAAAATTTGATGGAAGTTTTTTTTTTACCACTAGTGATTATATTTGCTATTTTTGCAAAGAAAAAAATATTTTTCCTCTTTATTTATGACAATATTAGTAAAGCACTTGTTTTCTGATCAAGAGTTAATCTTGGTGGAAACTTGGATTTAATGGATGTAGCTTTAAAGGATACTGGACATTCTTTGTTGAAAATCAAATTCTTTCACTAAGTGTACACATAACTTCTAAAAGACTTACATCTTTAAAAATTAATTCACAGATAATACAAAAGGGTTCATAGGACAGTGGAAGTAATTTTAACTTGCATAACACTTACACTTAATAATATAATATTATAATAATAATACTTAATTTGTATTCTCTTCACTTCATTGTTGTTGTTTTTTCCTTCTGATCTTGTTAGGGGTTAATTAGAAATCCTTTCTTAGTTCCTGATAATTCCAGACAATTTGTACTATGTTGTAATGACTATCTATTTTCCAAGTTCTAAACAGAATGACTTTATATAGTCAGGTTTTCAAGTTTCTAGCTCAAATCCATTGAGGAGAAAATCACAAATCTCTTACAATTGAAATGAGAAATGTAAGCCTTCAAGAAAAAGATGCTGCCCAAGAAGCTGTTAGAAGAAATGTAGTATTCTGACAAACATTTTTAAAAAAGAGTGTCAAACTAAAATAGAAAATAAACTTCAGTTTGATGACTTCACTAACAAGAATAGTAGATTTGTATAAATTCATATTATTTAGCTATTTCAGTTGTTGAAGTATAATTTGAAATCATGTCTCGAATTAGAGGATTCTGCTGTAAACCAGGCAACCCATTAGAACATATGGAACAAGAATTCTGTTGATGTGTCTTGGTTATTAAGTTTTTAGAATGTTTTTTTCTATTGAACCAAGGGTTGGGATTAGTGTTTTATATATCACTTCTACTTTACTTCTCAATCTCATGTGCTGAATTAGGTCTATGTCATTCGTCTAGTTAATTAGGAATTCTATTTGTCTTCATTTATTTTCTTTTAATTTCATTAATATGGGGTTTCCATGATAGGCTTCCATTTATTATAGCACCTATGTATTTTATTTTTCATATTATTTTTTTTTTTTTTAAATTATTTTTTTAGTTATAATTTACTTGAATGAAACAAGTAGTTTTAATTTAGGTTATTATTATGTCCTACCCTGACCTACTGCAGAACAGTAGAAAATGTTTGAACAACAATTGTAGTCATATGTGTATATCAGAATCTTTTTCAAAATGTATTTTAATGTAAAACATTTTTCAAGATTTGCTACATATTTTTATTTAGCTCTTGGATAGATGCATTCCTGAATCTTACCATAAACTCCATCACTTGTATTTGTGTGTTTTCTTCTGGATTATCTGTCAGTGTTGGCTTTCAATATTGGTGTAAACTAGTGACAGATCCAAAGTCTGGAATTGATAGGTAAAACTTTTGCTTTGTGAGAAAATAGTTGACTTTGCCAAAAAATATTGATTTTTTTGTTTTTCTCATATTCCTTTAGAAAAATGTAAATAGTATGCAAATTTTTAATAAAACTTTTAAATATCTAATATTTTATAACTATAATTTGACTTTTAATGAGTGGGGTACAAGCGAAAAATCAAGTTCCGGTCTAAAACCCTACTTTTTAAAGTATTCTAGAGTATCGAAATGGTATTGTAATCAACTTGATCTTAGTATCGATTTGTAGCTTTTTTTTGTGACCTTAGTTTTATATGCTATAAATAACTTTCATAACTATACCATAGTAAATAGAAGAAATTATTTTGTTATTTTAGTATTCCTGTTTGCCAAGTCTAGAAAATGTGTAAGCTATTTTTAAAATTTGAACTTGTTTCTCACAGTTGTGAAAATGGCCAGTATATACAAATTGGAAGTAAAATTGATGTTGATGCGGATAGTTTTTATCTACAATGGCAAATGGTGCAGGTTAGTTTTTTTTTGTTTTTTTTCTTCTCCATTTAATTGAATTTTAATGCCAGGCAAGTTATGGAAAAGCTTGCACCTCTGACTAAGAGCTGTATGAGTAAAAATGAATTTGTTTAGCCACCAGACCTGACTTCATTATATTGATAACTTATAACTTCTTAGTAATACTGTGTTTAGGACATCATGGCAACTCAGCAACCACAACAGCTAAAACTGACATTTAAAAATAAATGTTTTTTTTTCAGTTAAAACCTTATTACGATATATACTATAAGCCATAAAATGCAATCATATGAAATTTTTAAAAATATTTTTTTTTACAGTTTGGCCTTTGGAGCTGTTGGTTTTGCTGGCTTGTTCTGTCAGTTATGGCTTTGATTCGAATTTATCGATACCATCGTAGAGAATCATTCTATACCAGTATCAATCGGGAAAAACAAAGACTTTTGGCTCATGTTGGAAAAGCTCCAGAACAAGCTTAGGATACTATACAGTTTACTTTGTTGTTTCATGTATCCAATGAACATTTATAGAAAAAGTAACCTTAATATGGTCATTTTTAAATAATGTATTAAATATTTCAAATATTTACGCTGCTATTTGAATATTCAATAATGATTATATCATTAACACAAGATTTGCCAAAGTCTTTTGGAACTCAATTTCAAAGACAGTATGGTGGGTCTGTGAGTTAAATCAATGTTGATCAAAAATGTTTTTACTGAGGCTATTAATAGCAAATTTGAGACCTCAGCCAACAGAGATAGTGTTTGTGCTGTAAGTTTCTGTTAAAACAAGGAGTCTATGTAAAAAAAAATATTAAGGTTACTTTTAGAACTTTGTTATTCTTCTATCAGTATTTTATAATTTACATGAATTCCTCCTACTCTTTACCATTTATTTTTGTAGAGCTTTTAAAAGGAATGAAAACACTACAAATAGTCTACTGGCCAATATAAAATAAAAGTTATAGATCACTAACAGCAAGTAATGTAGCTTGAATACCAGGTCTAGTGAGTTAAAACAATTTTTTCATTTACAGTTAATCAACAAAATATTTATTATTTAGTTTCTATGTCTAACAAAAAAGTAGAAAAGGACTTCTGTGTCTGATAGCTTATCCTTCTATTTATATTTAAGATTTTCCTAAGGCAGGTCTTGTGAGCTTCCTGGCGTGTCTTCTGATCACAAGATAGCAGCATACAGTAATGTCAGGGAAATTAAAGCTCGATCTGATGAATCGTTGTTGGTTTCCCAACATTTCTAAGGAGTTTACCTTCGGATACACTGCCCTTGGTGATTTGTTAGTCTATTTCAATATTTCCTCTATGGGAAAGTGAACTGCCAAAATAAGTAAATCTGACTTCTACATTTATTTTCTGTCTATTTATTATAATGTTTGGATCTGAGTTTCCTCCTCATCATAATCATCATCAAACTCCATTTGAGTGACGGCTTGAGAGGCTCAAATCCTCTCTTGCAAAAGCCCTGGACAGAAACCCTGCTACTTTGTGTAGTGCATACATGTCACCATACAGGTTGAGAATTATTTGTTTCACAGACCTGGCACGACATGGCCTAAATTGTTCAGATGTGCCAAAACTCAAACTCATTCCAAGACCTGTCCTCTTCTTCACTGCAGCGGGGGCACCATGAGTCCAAATGTGCTCCCAGACTCCACAGGCTTTTTGGGACTTGTCCCAGCACTCAAACAACTTTTCCATTTCTATTTTTTGGATTATACCCAGAGGATGATGAAGACTCACAGTCTGCTCAGTGGGTGGTGTTGAGTGTCCTGGAATTGGAATTTTTTTTTTGTACTGAAGCCGAAATCAATACATGTACATGAGAAGTTGTTGACTGTAGTCTAGTTTATGAAGAAGCAGTTAAAGTATTTAACTGTTGATGATTAAATCTTTGAGATGCCTGGGTTCAAAAGGCCGCCAACTTTAAGATGTGATGTTAACTCCATCACAATCATTTTTCTGGAATGCATCTGTCAACAGCTGATAGCATGAAACTGAACAACATGAGTCCCAGTATATGGCAATAGAATAAGTGAAAGGTGTTAGGTAAAAGATTTATTTGACTGAGGCTTGAACTCTATAATACCCTAAATACCTGTTTCAATTTTTTTAATAAAATATTTGGTGAAATGATAGGACGTTTACAAACTAATTAAGAAAACATTAATTATTCTTTTCTTTAAAATATAAAATCTAATGAGTAAAGACAGCAGGATGGTTTTCAATGTGCATGTATATTATATTTTTTTTTAACTAAGGCTTACAGAAATGAAAGTAAACCATGGTCTTTCATAGAAGAAAGAAAATAATTGACATCGATCTGTTTTTTTAACTTCTTTTTTTCTGACCAATATATATATATATATTTATTATATAATTATTATTACATTTCTTTTGAACAAGTATAATATAACCTCTTCAGTGTATCATTTAGTTATATAGATAGCTATGTATTTGTGCTATATATTTTTTTTTATTATTCCTGTCAAAATTACAGGCTTTTTCATAATGATTCTAAAAAAAATATTTAAATCTTTTTTTAAAAATCTGCTTCAGCTATGATCTAATTCTATTGGTAGAACTTCACAATTACTTGGCTTTGTTTTTTTAAAGAATTTTTCCCATGCTTGTATAAAAATTATTAAAGATATTTTTAAAGTTCATGAAATAAACATCAACCTTTAAGCTACTGTTCTTTCATCCAAAATTTAAAAAGATTATTTTATAAAGTTCTTTAAATATGTAGGTATTATATTTGGAAAAAAAACTACCTAATTTTCCCTTGTTTTCTACATTCTTTATCAATCTACATTTAGAAAAATGAATATCTATATTAAATTTTTACCCCCCCCCCCCCCTTTTTTTTTTTATAAAAAAAAAAGATATTTTTTTTAGTCTTTATGAAACTTTTACCTTACTTGACAATTATATTTTGTCTGTTGAAATCATGGCGACAGCCACCATAGTCATTCAGAGAGAAATAAACTAGACAAAAGACATTTTTACTGCACTGTTTACAAGAGATGGTTGTTTGGTTGGTTGGTACTGGGATTGAGACCTCTTCTTCCCTATTCAGTTGTTATGCTCAGTTTATAAACATTGTTGTCTTCACTGTTGTTCATAAAGGCTAGGAAACTGTCTTTATCTGAGGTCTTCCTGGTGGTCTTGTTCAAATATTCCTTATAAGGAATAGTTGGCAGTGTTGGGAGAAAACTGAAGGTCTTTTAAGCTTTAATTTTCTCCACACTGATGCATCTTCCCAAATTGTAAAAGATATGCACATAAATATAAACCATTCTAAAAACAAGATGAAATTGTTAGTTGTTTTCACCGTCTTTTTTTTTTTTTCATGCACTTTTTTCAATTCAAGCTCACTATCATCTTTATCATGCTAAAATATGTTCATAGATGCTACAGCTACATGAGGTCTTCTGAAAGCAAGCATTTTTCTTTTTTAAGATGAAGTATGGATATGCATAAATCATTTCTAAAAACTGAGATAAACAATGATGTCCTGTTTTTCAATAGCTCCATAGGTTATAGACTATCCAGAAGATTAAAAAATGAGTTGATGAAGATCTCTCATCCTATGGAGTCAGGTCATGATTTATAATTATGGTATCATTATTTCATTTGAGTTTACTGTTGTGTATCAATTTAGGTGAGAGTTTGTGTAAAACACAATGTGTGTGATGGACGTGCAGAGGTTGTCTACATGTGTGCTTAAAGTCCTTTTGTCATCTAATTTTTGTTATAATTCATTCTTATTATATGTTTTTTTTTAAAGATTTTTTCTGACAACCCCCCAATGTCACTTTTAAAGGATTAAATGTTTTCAAAATGTTAACAAAATGTATTTGAACTTTTGTATTTACATTATAGTTATTGATAAAATAACCTTTGGATTTTTCTTGTTTATATGCAAATGTTTCTATCAACAGTGCCTGTATCTATGAAATCATACCAATATTTTTACAAAGCTTAAATCAACACACTCTGTTTTTCTGTCTGGTACAATTTTTGTACACATCATTTCTCAGATCAAGTTGAGATTTTTTCCCTATCATTTCTTGTACTTGACAAAACAAGAATCAATTTAAAAAAATTAAACAGTTAGTTTATTAAGTATTGGTAATTACTTTGTTTAGAGAGTTAGGTCGTTGCTTAAAAGTTTGAAACTAATAATAGATAGGTATATAACCTTCTATTTTCATAAGCACTTTGCTGGCACAGTGCATTAGCTTTCTCAAGCTTGATCTCTTGAGTTTGAATCAAAGTTGTACAACGTTTTATAAAATGCAGTTAAAAAGATATCACAGTAACTTTCATCCAGATACCTTTCTTTCTTTCTCCGCCCCCCCCCCCCCCCCCCCCTTTTCCCAACTGGTGAAGACAAGTGATAGGAATCATACCACATTCTGAAAGCTAAAAATACTCTGTCTTCCCTAGTGCTATTAGGGCATGGAATGGGTTGCCTGAGCTAGCCAGGAAAACCAGTGACTTGGCAGAATTTAAGTCATTCGTTAATATGCATGACGCGTAGGACACAATCATCTTCTTTTTTGAAGTAACGTCTGTATTATATAAGATAAGATAAACATGAAATTGCAGTAAACAAAAACAATTGGTAACAATTTTTCTAATCCTATAGTTTATTATTGTTAGTCTAGATCTATTACAAATTAAATTAATTTGATCCAAACTAATTGATACTATTACACTTAATATAAGTTGTTTTTTTTTGTTGTTTTTTTAAAAGTATTTTTTGTTTTTCTTGGTTTGTTTTAATCTATAATAAAATAGCATTATTAATTTAAAAAATTATTTCATTGGAAAAACTGTTCCTTTTCTGCTTGTATTTTCTACTGCAACAGTATTTCTTTTCACATTGTTGTCATAATTAGCAATTTAAAACAAAAGCCTGTCGAAGACCACATTAGTGATAAGATAAATAATAACATTTAGTACTGGTATATTGTTTTTTATTAGTGAATGTTACATTTACTGTAATCTTCTGTTCAAATGTACTTTGCTTCATAGTCCTTCCCTTATAATTAAATTTGATTTTTCACTTAACTAATTTGTCACAAAAACTAAAAAAAAAAATATGTTTTACAAAATTACCATAACAAAATCCAACTGCATTTTGTCACTGGATACCTGTTTGGTATAGATAGCAACTCTGTTGTGAAAACTCTTATAATTTTGTCATGGGCTATTCTTCTCAATGAAATATATTGGGTGATCCAGTCTTATGCTCTACTATAGTTTTCATGTTGATTTGCATTTACTTCTTGAAGTAAGTACAGGGTATTTGAGAAAACCAGAATTACTTTTATAAACCTCCCATCTTTCCATCTTGATTATCTTGTAGCTGTGTTGGGTATTATCTTTGGGATTATATAAAACCTATTTATAATGCAAATTGTAAATAAAATTATATACTTTAATACTGTTATTTATGTAAAGCAATGCTAATACTGAATTTCAATTTATTAAAAATAGTAACTTTTTTCTCTGTGTTATGTAATTGTGCTGTAATAACTATGGAAAGAGGACACATATTTTCATGAATTTGATGTGTGGTGATTTTGTGATTTAGAACTTTATATTTAGAATTTTCTTTCTACTTTGAGATTTGCTATACCGTTTTTTTTTTAAATAAAAGAATTTTAGAATATTTTCTTATTGTCATGTCTTAATTATTTCCCCCTTTTTAAAAAATAAGTTTTTAAACTTTGAAAAATGTGAAGGTTTTAGTTCAGAATTAAGTATATCATTTTTTAATAGTAATACATTGATGTCAAACAAATACAATTTTATCAACTTTTATTCCAAATTGCTTGTATAAAAACTAACTTCAATTGTTCAACATAGCAAGTACAAACCAATACGACTAGGAAATTTGCAAAATCAAAACAACTTTCAAATAGATACAATGACATTGTGATACACTGAAACATTAATCAACATTTATAATAATGTATATATGGCAACTATCAACAATGTTTATTCAATTCAGTGTATACTGTAAAAAGGATAATTCTAATATTCTTGCATCTTTCTTGAATGCATATTCGGTATATAATCCATAAGGCCTTCCTACAATGGTGGCTATCTCAACAATTCTACGTTATTTCTAATGAACATATGTGGTTTACATCAAATTACAGATAAGAGTTTTAGTTGCAATGTAAAAAAATGACTAATAGCATTTGAGTGAAATGATGGTTCAACTTAAAGTAGACCTAAAAATTGTAGTCCATAGAAAATGAATTGCAAGTGACAAAAGTATAAAGTAATCCCTACTTGTAGCAATGTAAACCAGGATAACTGTAGAATTCAATATCATGTAGGTAAGCAGTCCACCAATATAGCAACTGCAGACAAATTAATAATCTACAATATTTACATATTTACAATGTTAAGTAAACAAATGTAATTGTTATACATGGTCACCCAGGCAAAAAAAAAATACTAGGTACCCTAAGTTGCCATTTAATGGCAAGGACTCTGATTTATAAAAGAAAATTGATTTTAATATAAAACAACAATTATTTAGTCTGGATGATAGCACTTAAGTTGGCAGCTATCTCTTGTCATGCTACGTATATACACTTAGATTTTTTTTAAAAAATCATACTATATCTCTTAAACAAAAACGTGAAAGAAAAACACACATCTACATGAGTAACACTTAATAGTATACTTTGTAAGATAGAAGTTTAAAATACAGGTCAATTGTCTATGCTGTACAATATTTTTTTATAAATTGAAGAAATATTTGTATATTAGATATTATAATTCAGTTGATAACTTGTTAAAACTCTTAAAAATAAGTTTAAATTATCTTTGACTAGCATTACACTGGTTGGCAAGGGGTAGATGAGAATTACAACCTTTGAAATTTCTAGCATATTTTCAAATGGGATCAATAAATCTGTGTTCAGGTAATTATAATTGGTTCATGATCATCTGAAGATGATAATGTTAACAAAATGTATGCAAGCATATTTTTGTTTTCAATATCAAATTTATTACAGTACATGTAATCTTTGGTCTATTGTAGCCAATTATAAAAAGTTTATCTGTAACTATAAAACATAACTACGATCTACTCATTGCAATGTGAGGAACATTTTTTAAAAGACTTGTAGCAAATGTAAAGTATTGGAGCTAGCATACAGCACTCTTCCTAGAAAATATCTCTTATTTTTATCTCTTGTTAGGCAATAGGTAAAAAATATTATTTGTTTCTTCATAATTTTGCAGATTCCTACTAAAATAAAAAATTTTTAGATTCTAATTATCACTCCACATTTTTTTCTTTGACTCCCTCCTTTCCTTCCACTTTGGTTTTAAAAATAGAATATCTGCCAGAAATGGTGGGCTAAAAATACAAGAATAGTTATATTAAAGATATTATATTTTATATTGTAGATATTAAAGCTGAAAATCAAGAAATTGTATTTAATTTTATAACACAAACTACATTAATGAGCAATGATAAAAAAAGAATTGATGTTAACCAGAAATCTTTAGTTTAAATGTAAAACAAACATTGCAAATAACATTAAATGAGATCCTCCATTGCATGGTGTTTAGGAGGATGTATGTGTTGACTGGCACCTCTGAACAAAGCATCATTTTTCTAAACGAAGATGTCAATATTATTGAACACTGCTTAGTATTACAATACTAAGTTACAGCCATTTATGGCACTTGCATCATAATGTTAAATTAATTTCTTACCTTGACAATGTTCAATTGGTGATGAACATTTTAAATGCTAAAATGTCAATAGTTAATTACAACTAAAAATATAAGATTTCCTTCACACATTCAAAAAGAGGCACCTCAGCTAATTTACTAACATCATTAAAGTTCGCAAGCCTCTAACATAAACTAGTGGGGCAGGTGCATCAACAAAATGTAGTTTTTACTATATCATACAAAATCTAATTTACTGGTATATAAAATATTTTCATTACAAGGCTAATATATCAGTCCAGTAACTAGCATCATTCTTAATGCCTATATGTTGACATGAACATCTCAAAGTGACAGATCTGAATCATTTTTTGCAAAATTAAACTTGACAAAAATAATTATCAGTTTGAAATGCAAATCGAAAGTCATATCAATACATTTCAAATTTAAAACAAACCAATGTGGTCTGGATAATGATTTCATAACATAGACAAATATTATGGATATTAATACTATCTCAATCTGTAATGTTTTAGCATCATTTACACAATCCATAAGAATAATCTTAGTAATAAATTATGGTGTAGATAAAAAAGGCACTTTATTTTGGAGGTAAAAAGAAAATGTTCACAACAATAGAGCACAATTTATTAACACTGATACCATTTCTTGATCATACCTTGTTACTTATTAGGCAAGATAAGTTTGAAGTAGTTCTACACAGTCAGTCCTGGTGACAGATAAATTAATTGGTGGTAGAATCAAAGACCAAAATATAATTCCAGTGGATGAAATATTTTAGTTGCATTGTAGGACCTTCACCAGTTAAGCCAGCACATTTGTTGGCAAAAATCATGGGGTTTGTTTTTGTGCTGGCAACACAAGATCTGGCCACAGATACAGAAACTTGCAACATTTTCTTTACACAACACAAGTGACTCACTAAGTCTGACAAGATGTGACTCACTAAGTCTGACAAGACAAGTGACTCACTAAGTCTGACAACACATGTGACTCACTAAGACTGACAACACAAGTCTCAACCATATCCTATTTTGTGTACATTAAACAAAACTGTCAACAGAGTGTAAAAAAAAAGTTCTTGCCATGCATTCATTAAAACATCATATATACAAAACATAATATCAAAGATTTTTTATTTTCTATGCAGCTCACTCAATGAGTCTTATAACTGTTATGAGTATGTATGTTTGTAATTTTTTTGTATGTTTTTTTTTTTAATGCTTACAGATTATTGTTTAAACATTAAAGAAGTTAATCTGTAGTGTACTGCATATTTGCAGACTTAGATACTTTGTTGAAATGTAAGAACTTTTATGCAGCACTATTAAAGTGTATCACTATCATCTAGATAAGTTTGCCTCCACTCTTGCTCTTGAAACTTCTTTGTTGTCACACCTCGTGCTTGCATAGTAGGAACAGATGTCTGTGGCATCGGTTCTGACAAATAAGGAGCAGCTCTAGCTGGAGGTTCCTGTGCATAGTTGCTTCTCCCTATGTCTGGAGGTCTAGCTGACCCTTGCCAAGCAATAGGTTGTGTGGGCATAGAAGTTAGCTGAGGTGGGTATGCTCGGAATCCGGTCGGCCCCCTTAAATTCAATTGTGATGCAGAAGTCATTTTTGAACTTTGAGGGACTGGCTGATTTAGTGCAGAGGAAGATGAGTATGACCTTGATGATACTTTTATCTGACCTTCTTTTTCTGAAGAGCTCCTAATGTCTGTTGAAAAATTTTCTACAATAGTTTGTGTATTGGCAAAGCTATAATGACCCCCAAATTCATCCCTGATATTTTCTGATTTCATTCCCATCTTTTGGTGTAGACCAGATTGTTTTTCATAATTATCAATGGAATCACCACCACCATACCTTGAATAATTGAATGGTTCCTGCATTTGTGCATTTTGATTTCGTTGCATTGGGGCCGCATTAGAAGTATCACCATGACTTGCATTCCAGTGCCCAGGATCAACAGATTTATTTAAGTTTTTAGACGAGGCTGGATGGTGAGGTATTCTTGAAATAGGATCTGAAACATGCTGAGCAGGAAATTTATTTACATCTTGATATCGTGGCAAGGATGGTTGCGATGTTGAATAATGAGGAGGATTTGGAGGGTAAAACTGACAGGCAGATTTATTTTTGGAATCCAGTGGCATTTTTGAAGAATAATATTTTTCTTGGAATTTTTGCTCTTCATGAAAATGTTGACTATTTCCATGGTCCACCCTGGCCCTATGAGCGGTTTCTGTCTGATTTTGAAGGTATGAATGACTAGACAGTTGCTCTGGAGGAGGTTGCCTTTCGGGTGGTCTGGTGGGGTTAGGGTAGTAAGGGATTTGATTAGATGTGCCTGATCCCTGCTGGTTTCTTGACAAAGCTGACTTCATAGCAGCTGTTAGGGGAGTACTTGCCATCTGTGGCTGCTGCTGATGTGTCTTTTGCCCAGGTGCTACATTCGCTTTTTCCTGAGAAGTTAAAGTGTAAGGTGGATCTAGAAAACTTTCTGAAGTTTCATTGAAGGCACCCACATCCTCTACATCTCCCAGCTTCCTCCAAACAACCTTGAAGACAGCAAAAAAGAAATAAATAAAATGTCCATGTAGGATTCTCTTTTAAAAAAAAAAAAGAAAATGCTTTCTATTATGAAAATAACAGCACAAGAGTTTAAATTTAAGCAGGAAAAAAAAATGTTTAGCAGAGATTATAACAAAACTTTCTTTTTCAATGTAAATTTGTATCTATGACTCACATTACACATTTCTCTAACAATAGCTTTTTCTGGATCATCTAAATCTTCATCATGGTAAGGAATTTTTTCAAGCTCCTCATGAACTTGAAGCACCTAAAGAGAACATGGAATGCTACTCTAAAACAAATGTATTACAACAAACACACACACAGTTTCTTATGGTCTGGGACAGTCAACCAAAAAAAAAATGTTGATCTATTTGTTTGTAATTATCAAAATGTGCAACCAAATGTATATGATGATGGCCCATGGAGCTAAGTATGTAGAAAGAGATGCTGATTATTTTCTTGAAACAATTTTGATTAGAATAGTTATAAAAAAATATTAGTTTAAGTTATGACAGAAAATAATAAGAATAAAAATCAAGCCACCCCTTTAAATAATATTTAAAATAAATTATGTACAAAATATATTGTTCTTAGTTATTTGAACATTCAAAAAAAAAAAAAAAAAAAAAAAAAAAAAAGCATCAAGAAAAAGATTTTCATTCAAATATTTAACTTTGAAAGCTTCACTACTGTCAACTGTTCTGTGGGCTCTCATCACAAAAAGTTAAGTTTTAAAAAATATATTTTAATTAAATGTCACAGCATATCATTATTTAAACCATCATAAGTGAATAATAATTAACTATTTCTTAATGTATATAAAAAAAAGAAACCAATATTAACATTTCAACATTCTATTTTTTTTTTTTAAATGTTTCTATCAATTTTGCACACAAACCTTCATAGCATGCACAACAGCTTCTGGCTTGTTAGAGACTGATGACTTCACATGACCAGGCACAGACCCATGCAACAACTACACATGCAACAAGGACAAAAACTAAATAAATACACTGAAGGCAAACAGATTGAAGGAAAGTGTTTTCAGCTATTATACCTCATAGATTCCTACACGCAACTCTCTTTTTCAAAATCTATTTTAATTTCAGCAAATTAGTATTTCAAAAACAAATTCCTTTAAAATGAAAATGTTATCATTCCATACTTTTATCTCATCTGGAAGACTATTATAAAGTCTAAGTAGACAACAGAATTAACTCTTAAAAAACGTAATTTTTTTCTCATTCATTTTTTTTCCCCACAATTTTTATCACATTAGCCTTTTTATAAACATCATACTGTTTTTTCTATTTGTTAAAACATAGACATGTTATATAAAATTTTGTTGGAAATTGAATGTACTACAAGATAATTTATCTTTCAATGTTATATTTTTTAAAAATTTGATCTTTAAAAACTGACTTTCCCAAGTAAAAAAAGAATATTCCAACAGTCCTCAATCATTATTATTGTATGAAATATTAAACTCTATCCAATTATCTATTTAAAAAACATAACTTTGTCAAACTTGATCAATATTTACACTTTTAGTGAGGTTTCTTTCTAGATCTACTAGGGCCTGGCTGGGGCGACACCCCCTTCCGTTTACTACTTTTACTAGATCTATGGATAAATAATTCACTATCAGACTCACTTGAGTCTGAAAATCGCTTTCATTATAACTTTCTAGCTCTAGAATCTCTATCTAACACTAAGTCATGTCACTATCATTCGTATCTTAAAATGTTATTTAGAGCCTGATCAGCAGTAAAACGGCAAGAAGGCTTGTCAGTCATGATGTCTGATGCAAAAAAAACGAAAAATTCACTAGTCACTTACAAAAAAAAATATTTAGAACAATAAAAACAGCTTAGATCAACAAAGTATCAGAAGGAAAAAACTTTCAAAATGGCCGCTCTATCGTTTCCTTAAACCATTTAAGGGATTAGAAATGTGGATTAGAAAAGAAAAAGAAGTAAATAGGGAAATAGTGATTGGACGCTGGAAGCATCATTACGTTAGCCCGGCCAGGGGACTGGTCGCCATCAGCGTCATTACGGTCTTGAAGAGTTAACTATTATTACATGCAAACAACCACAAGAGGAATATTTTGTTTGACTCAAAGGACCTCTTTCAGTTTAAAAAAAAAAAGTTCTATTATTTCCATTTATCCATAATTGGTTGACAAAGAGAAAAACAGGATTTTCAAGGATAACAAATCAGACCGAAATTAAAATTAACTGAATATTCGTTCAAGCGTAATTGTAATTGATCTGTAAAATAAATATGCAGACATTGGAGCACAAACATTAATTTATCACTACATTCTCACTGGGTCATTATTAGATACTGCCATGTTTCCCACTTCAGAAGATGCATGCCTCCAGTCAGGACCAATGAAATCCACTCTCTGAAAAAATCAGTCACATTACTTTTAGTAAAAAAATAAATAAAATGGATTGCAAGATTTTTAACCCTTTTTTTTTTTTTTTTTGGAACAAAAGAAAAAAAGGAGTTTTTTTTTGTTGTTTTTTTAAAAAACACAACATTTATAGATTTCATATAAAAAGTAATAATGGCTAAATTCATTTGAGAAACAGTTTCGGAGAGTAAAAGTTACATGAAATATTGGAGATGTATGTTAGGAGTCGCTACTTAAAGATACTGATGCCTTTTTTTTATTTCTAAGAAAAGCTATTATTATTTTCTGATTAAAAAGCAAACAAGCACTAAATAAAATTTCAAAAGAGTAGTAATTTGTCATGACATCAAAAATGTTTACACATTTCTACTTTGTTATATTTGACATTTCATATTGTCTACCTAAAAGCAATGATAAAAATGGTAGTTCTTTAGTGTTTTTTCAATGTGTTATATATATATATACATATATATATAGGTTTAGCCCAATACACTGAAAAATTAATATATATGTATTTAAAATCATACTAACTAACCTGAAGTTTTGAAATCATACAGTAAAAGAAAATGTTTACAAAGGTAGTCATTTTGTCTTCTGACTGTATTTTTTTTGCATTGAATTAATCTATTTTAAAGGTTTGCAATAGCTAAAAACACAAAAAAAGGTCTTTACTTGTGTAAGAAGGTTTTTCTCCTCCTCTAGTCTTCGAACTTTTAATTCAAGTTCTCGAATATAATTGGCAACTGAACCTGAAGCTGCAAAGTTTAAACAAATGTTTTTTTTTCAATTAAAAGTGTAACAAATGAAGTTAATTATTAGTACTATATTAAACAGTCATATGAAATATGAAATTAACCAAAAGAGCTCCAACAAAAAACAAATTTAGACATGCAATTGACTTAAGGAAAGTAAACATTACTTGAATAGGTATTTGAAGATGAAATACCAGGAGTAGGAGTTGTTGAACCATTTGTATCCATAGCAACTACACCATCCTCATGCCCAGCTATTGTTCCATTGCTGCTACCATCTCCCTCATCTCTGTCTCCTGTCATACGCAACCGTTCCTGGTCAAGAAATAGGCACAGCTCCTTGAGCTCCACATTTTCAGTTATCAGTTCAGTTTGTCTGCTTTCTAGCTCTCTCAGCTTCTCTTGGTAAACAGCAACCTTAACATAATAGAAAGTCACATAAAAATTACAGAAATTTTCATTTAAAAAAAACAA